CGCATGCCGAGATCGGTGCCAGGCTGAGACACATGACATGCGGCTTCGTGCTCTTCCCTGGTAGTTCCTGTTGGTCAGGTGCTTATGTGAAGGGGTGGGTTGTGCATAAACCCAAGCTGGGCATTTGCTAGACTGGAGCAGAGAAAGAATTGAATTGTGCAAGAGAATCTAGTCAATGGGGGGCCCAAGTGAGCCATTGAAGAAGGGACCCCACTGGGGGGGAAGTTGGCGGAGTATATCGCTGAGTCCAGGCGCGAGGCGAGCGTTACTATTCTCACCGTACACACGTGAGGAAGCAAAACAAGTCTTTCCATTCCCCGGAGCCCTCCTGCTGGTGAGCAGCAGAATTCAAATTAAATTCACAGCCTCGTGGAACTCTTTCCTTCACATCCCAGCTTCCTCCCCTGTGTGAGTCTCTGGTTTTCCTAAGCACCCTGTGCAGCACCTTTGGGAGGCGACTCACTGTGCCCATCATAGATCCTTCGTTCGCCTTACGGAGATGAAGATTCATTAGCGAGAAAAAAAGCAATCATGGTACTTCTTCAGTGTGTTAGTTGTTTGTAAAGAAATGGTTGTTTCTCTCGGTTTTCGTGACTGTCTCGTGGCGGAGAGGGTACCTCTTCTCCCCATTGCTCCTCTGGCGAAGTGAAGACTGCCCTGAGAGCTGCCCCCAGCCCCGGGGTTTGTGTGTCGTGAAGCTGGATGGAACATGGGCCACACTTCCCCTCTCTAGCCGGTGTTTTTCCTGTTTCCCTTTGCTGCCTTCATGCTGCGGAAGTGTGTGTAGTATGTTGGCGATGAGGGGAAGGAAATGCATGTTAGCTTTAGAGGAGGAGGAGGTCTGTGCACAGATGTGCAAAGGTATTAAGTCAGACTGCATGCCTGACCGTGGTGTATCGGCCCTGGTGCTCATACAATCTCCTGGGGCACTTTATCCACTTGGAGGTACTGTTTCCAGCTTGCATTTATGGGAATTTACACTTATTAGGGTAAAAAGAGGTTAATGCCCCACTGTTCCTTAATATCTTAGACACCTTCTGGAAATCATAATCTAACAATGTGAATTTCAATATTAAGCCTGTGGAATTTGGATCTTTTTTTCTGATGTCCTACTCTATCCTCTGTGCTTGGGAAATTCTAATAAACCCAGACCAAGTGAATGCGTTCGGTTTGTCTTTAACCCTGCAACTGCATTTTACTTAGTGCCACCTCCGAAAGCCAGCCATAGTCTCTCTCACATGTTGTCTTTCCAATGCACATGTGCGTCTGCTGTGCTACATGTGGAGGGAAGGGTGTTTTTTTTTCAATTCAATATCAAGGTCATAGTATGTTGGGAGGAAAATTCTCCAGCATTTCATTCCTTTCCATAATAATTTTGATAGCGAAGGAGATACAAGCTGTTAAAATTATTTGTATTTTTTAGCTTTTTATTTTGAAATTTGGACCAAAAGGAGTTAAAAAAAATAGACAAAGAATTCTCCCATATTCCTCACTCCACTTCTCCACCTAGTGTATTTTATAACCAGAGTATAATTTTCAAGAACAGGAGGCTAACTTTGGTACAATGTTACTAGTTCATCTACTGACCTTATTTGAATGTCACCAATTCTACTAACATTTCTTTTCTCCCTCAGGGTCCCAGATTCCTTTAGATGTTATTTCTCCTTAATCCCATTCAGTCTGTAACTTTCTTCGTCATGAATGACCTTGACACTCTCAAAGATTACTATTTTGTAATCTTTGAGATTACAACATAGGTCCACTGTTTTGTAGAGTGTGTTGCAGGGTGGGTTTGTCTGTTTTCTAACGATTGAGTGAAGTTATTCATTTTTGGTAAAAGCACCCCATATATGTGATGCTTTGCCCTCACTGCGTCACACCAAGGGGATCGTGATGTCGGTGTGTCTTATTGCCGCTGACAGTGACCCCGGATCTCTTGCGTAAGTTGCTGTCTGCAGGGTTTCTCTGCTGTAAAGGTGCAGTCTTCCCCTTTGGGGTGGATCAGCACCTTGGGGGAGATACTTTGAGACGATGCAAATCCTGTTCGTCTTCAGACCTTCACACACTAACTTTAGCATCCATCAGTGCGCCTTGTCTGCAGCATCCATGACTGTGGTGGTAGTCCTGGGATGGGGGTGGAGCTCTCCTTCCTTCCTTCTACATTTATTAATTGGAATTAACTTGTAATGAAGATCTAGTTCTCCTTCCTCATCTGGTCATTGATTTCTATTAGCATGGACTCATGGATATTTGTTTTATTCTGCAGCTTAATCCAATACTATCATTTATTATTTCAGTGTTCAAATTATTCCAGCTTTGACCATGGGAAACCCCACTAGGCCACTTTCTGTGTTCTTTCAACAATGCTCTATCTTTTTTGAGTATATTTCCATATCCTCTGGCCTCATAGGATGTTCCAATCTCATCCCTGTATTTTTCCTGTTCCAGCCTGGATATCATGACTTCTCATAGGATCCCTGTTTACTTTTATTGGAAGATGGTACTTAGAGACCAAGATATGGGCACTCAGTGTGCTCACTGTTACTGGAGATCATTGGTTCTAGGCTTCTCCATGAACAGAGTAAGGACATGCATGTTATGTACACTGACCTGTGGATACACCAATATCTATAGTTTGGATCTAACCTGTGTATATATTAAAAGTCACAAATTTATACTGATTCCTGTGATTTCAGTGCAACACCAACACACTTATTTTAGCCTACCCCTTTTCCTTATACCTCTTTTCTCCATGAGTGAGAAACCTGGCTTTTATTACCTCCACTATATGTATATATTTGCATAGTACACACATAAAGTGATTTCAGGACTGCAAGCCTGTGCCCCTGTGAGGTGCATTTATGCACTAGATGACAACAGTCCTTTTCATCTTCGGCTTCACGGCATGCAGTCAAGACCCTGTTTCCCAAGTTGCTTACATAGGTTCTGTTCTTACCCACCCCCTTCCGTACAACTTTGTCATAAGGTTTTGTTCTTTTGTTGCTGTTTCTATTCCATTTTGGGTTCCCCACATTCTGGTTGTTTCTTTCTAAAATTTTTCTTTTATTTTTGGAATGCATGAAGAGTATGAAACCCTACTCTGACCTAGCCTCAGTATTATACCAATAAATATACTCAGGGAAGGATTTCTCCTTCATCATCCCAGCCATTCCATCCCAGTCCCCCTTCTCTACACTCACCCCCTATATGTAACCAATCTCTGGTTTCTGGTTCATGCTTCCTGTATTTCTTTTTTTCACAAATGAGATTCATGTATATCTTCTTATATCCCTTTCATATATGATGGATCACATACTATAGATATTCTACTGGGCTTTGCAAAACTCCTGGGAATCTCTCTGTATCAGTTTATGGAGATCTTTGTTCTTGGAATATGTACATATTCCATTGCATGAATGTACCGCAGTTTTACTCAACCACGTGTTTCCAATATTTTGTACTTATAAGGCTGCAATGACTATAATCTTCTGCACACATATTTTCGTATTGTTGGAGATGTATCTTCTATGAAATGTCCTAGGTCAAAGTTAAGTGTGCATTTTAGTAGGTATTACCAAGTTTCCCTCTAAAAGATTGTACCAGTTTGCATCCCCACCAGCAAAGTGTGAGAATTTAGAAAGCCTTTCCCTACACAAGGTTAAAGAGGTCATCACCCATGTTTATGAAAACACTTTGAAACATTGAAAATATTCCGGTAGGGTTTGTTGACATTCATTTGGGGCCTGGACTTTCAAGACCCTCTGGCTCTCCTAACGTGGCATCCGCCTGCCCTGCTGATTCCTGTTATCATGATGGTCCCTTCCAGGGCACTTCGTCACCCATCTCCAGACTTCCTGGTTTCTCCAGAACCAGGGACACCGTCTAAAGCTACCCAGGGGCCCTGCAGACTGGCTTGGCTTCCCCAACCCTTTTTACTCTTGAATGTATTCTCTTTCGTCCAGGTAGTACTATTAAGCACTTACTTTAGAATTTTCTTCTGATTCAAGCCCTGAATCAGTACTCACTTCACCTCCCTTCCCTTCTTGCCTCATCTTTTTTCAAGCAACTCCTAAAATCCACTGTTCTCCTTTTCCAAATGCCCTTCACCATAGTCTTTGTACTGATGAAGGAGCGCATTCATAGCTATATCTTCTGCATAAGAAACTTGATAGCCACGTGATAGGGTGCCCCCCTGACAGGCTGGCCTGTTCAGCAGACCACAGACACAGTTCTCCTGGGGAAGGGAGTCATCTGCAAGAAACAGGAAGTGAGTCTTTTCTGTACATCTGTACATTGTAGACAATGATAGCCACAAAATATGCTGAAATATTTAGTATGTATTAAAGTGTAAGTGTTTTCCATCTTTCCTTATGTTTTCATTCATTATGACCTTTATTTAAGTACATCAGCAGGAATTTGTTAGTGCGGTATTTTGCATATCAATAAATTAAGAATGAAAAACGTGATGTTTAAAAGGAAAAAATCTTTCTCTTGATTTTCCTCTTGTCTCCTCTCTCTCCCTCCCTCCTTCCCTCCCTTCCTGCCTATCAGCACAAACCCAAGGGTGGAATCTGTCCTGAGGCTACTAGTTTTGGAAGGTCAGAATGACCTGGCATTATGCTTAGAAAAAACCTACCTACCAGGAAAGTCAAAGATGGAGAAATAAGTCATGGGAATTTATTACTGCATAGCTATGCATTTCCATTTTTAATTTTCACTATTAGAGATATTTTAAAAATTGATCTACAGACCTCTCTGCATGTGCTCCCTTGATGAATATTTACTGTTTGGGTTAAGCAGTAATGGACTATTTGAGCTTCATGTAAATTATGTATATCTGAAGAAATCTAGTGGAGGCTGAATGAGACACATTATTTAATGACTCAAGCTCCTGAAATTGGTGCAATGGAAGAAGAAGGGAGTAACTTTCAGCTGGAGGATAAATCACAGCATCTTCAATTCTTGCTTCCCACCATTTTGCTTTATTTGTTTTCTTTCAGAGACCCTCAAAGTCTAGATCCACCGGAAGTCAGCAACGCGAAGCTTCAGTATGCAGGATGGGGTCCTAAAGGCCAACAACTGGTGAGCACATCAAGTTCAAGCACATTTTGATATTGATGAAGTTTACATTTGATAGACTGAGTGTGTCTCACTATACTCAGACGTCTAAGTCCTCGCATGAATTGAATTTAGGGAAAGTACATGTAAATATCTGCATATGTGAAATGGTTATTTCTTCCTCATTAGAGAATTCTCTTGAAATTAGAAGAGCTTATACTTTGGTTCCCACAACTGGAACCTTAGCCTTAAGTGGTCCCCAACTGTAGCTGTGTGTGTCCAGACCACAGATTTACTGTGAACTCAGAGATAATCCTCATCAAAGGACTGCAAATGGGATTTATTAGAATCATGGCATCATTGAAATGTTCTCTTGTTTTGCCTGTGGAACTCTGGCTCTTTTCTCTGAAGGGCTTTTTGAAGGAAGTATATTTGCTGGCTGGGGGGCTGGGCATCCTGCAAGTAGCAGTGATGTGCCTGAGTCCCCACCTCCCACAGCCGCTCGGCCCTTAGCCTCACATCCAGCATCTTTGTGGATTTCCCCTCAAAGTGGCAAAAACAGATGTTCTGAGAAACGGGATGGCAAGGATGGTGCAGTGCCCAGGGCGCTGAGCTTGTGGTTAGGAGGCGGGGTTCTCATCCTGGTGTCGGTGATGGGCGACACCGCACCTCCCTCTCAGACTGCAGTGGGCTGGCCCAGCTACCGAGAGGAAGATTTGGATAGGACAACCTCTCGGGTTTATCCCAACTTCAGCACTACATTGTCTAAAACCAGATGTTTGTCAACTCTGCTCCGCTGTCTTTGACAAGTTATATCGCCCTTTGCAGAAAGTCCCTGAATGTTGAAGGCCAAGTGATATAGTTGCTGTATTCACGTCACTATTTTCTTCTGCTTTTTAAGCTGATTAACTAAAGCTGCATTATTAAAACTTTTTTCCTAAAATAGCACAGAAAATAATCACTTTTCGAAAGCTTGGGGTAGGATTGTATTGGGTGGGCTAGCTACTATCTTCGGCATTAAAATAGTCTTATTTTTTCTAACAGTGTGATTATGTTTTCCTGGTTGCATTTTAATTCCATTGCCTTGAATCGAGTCAAGGAACTGGGGGATGTAGGCCCCAAAACCATTTTACCAATTACCAAAGTATCCCTTGTGCTGCACCCTTACCAGTCAGAGATTTTGCAAAGCACATTTAACGATAAAAATCAGAGTGTGACAGGTCAGGGGGACTTGGCAGAGGGATACCAACCCATCAGTTCCGTCACACGGAGGAGATAAAAACCCGTCTTTCCTCAAAGGTGCTCTTAACAAGGAAAAACTGCAATTTCATAGGAGACTGTAGAAGACCCAAGTGTTTAAAACCCTTGTGACTTAATCTCTAATAGTTGCCTTTAAATCCCTCTGAAAATCTATGATTGAAGATGTTTCCAGAATGCAGGTCTTACCCATATCCGTCAAATCATCCTGTGACAGTGACTTTGAGCCTCCATAGAGGGGACTCCCTGTCCTCCACGAGTCCTGCAGGCAATGCACCACCCACCACCTCACACCCCGGCCCCACCCCACCACCCCCTGGTACCCCAGCCCTACCACACCACCCCCTGGCACCCTGGCCCTACCACCTCACACCCAGGCTCCACCCTACCACCCCCTCGCACCACCTTCTGGCACCCCCACCCCACCCCCTCGCACCCCAGCCCACCGCACCACCTCCTCACCCCACATCCTCGCACCACCTCCTTGCACCCTGGCTTCATCCTGCCCCTCAGGGAAGCACGTGGGGAGTGGGCAGCCTTCCTGCGTGGTCATTGTTCAGGCTCCGTATAGTCATCAGGAAAAGCACGCGGTGGCTTGAACATTGGCCAAGCTCTCTTTCCACCAGAATGGCTGCCTCTGTCCTGTCACCCAGTGGTTACCACTAAGCTCCTAGGCTCACCCCCAGCCTGTGGGAGGGGCCAGATGTGGTGACCGAGGCCCTGCCCACTGACCCCGTCCATGGAGAGGGCTGTGCAGTTTCAGCAGAGTTAGCCCACAGCTGCCCGAGGAGGGTGGTGTGCAGGCCCGCCCCTGCCCACGGGCTCTGGAGGATGGCAAGAACTTGGAGGCAGAGGGGTACTGGGTTGATGTCTCCAGCCTGTGGAATTAATACGCCAGCCCTCCCGCCGGAACCTGCTGAAGCTGCCGCCACCACTGGGCTTTACACAAGACAAAACAGCAAAGCTCAGCGGTGTCACCTCCCTGACTCCCCTCCCCACCCCGCATGGCCCACCACCTCGTTCCGCAGACGGCTGTTGTGCTCACTCGCCTCACGTTGTCGTGTGCCCCATGCATTCAACGGCCTTCAGGCTAAGCATATCCTCTGCGCTGGGTGTTCATCGCGACACCTCGCACTCGGTGATTATTTGTTGCAGTCAAAACTGAATGCATGAGCAGACTGACTGATTAGTCACCACATTCTTGTGGTCCAGCCATTAAACATCAAATAATTGCATGGAGGCAAATAGCCAGAATCTCCTTGTATGTGTCGGATATCCTAATAGAAAGGGAAGTTCCGCTTCCTTTTTGCTTCTAGGAAATTAAGGGTCCGTTAAGTAGTGATTGCTAATATTTGGGCTTAGAATCAAAAGTGCAAATGTACTGATGGAATTTCTGAGGTTTTAAACTTGTTTAAACTTCGGGATTTTTTATTAAATGGTTCTTGTATGAGTGTAATAGGCAGCATAAATCATCTTTGAGCAAGCAGCCTGTATGTTACAGGGTCAGCAAACCTTTTGTGTACAGGGTCAGGTAGTAAGCGTTTTAGGCTTTGGAGGCCCACATGAACTCCATCTCAACTACACTTGCTGTTGTGGAAAGAAAGCAGTTGCAGGCAATACAGAAGCAATGGACATTGTTTTGTTCCAATAAAACTTTATTTACAAAAACAGGTGTTGGGGCCTGCAGGCTGTAGGTTGCGGACCCTTGATTTAGGAGGTGGTCGGCTGTCGTGCTGTCAGCGAGGGAAAGCCTGGCCCCTGGGCCCGCACCCTGTGACTGGCGCTCCTGGTGCACTCTCTCTCGGCAGAGGAAATCCACAACCCGGGAACAGGCCGCGCAAACACTAACAAATCCCTCTGCGCCATTTCATTGTAAAACATAAACATCGCTCCCCAAAGGAAATCTACTCTAATTATAATTAGTCAGACTGAAGTGAGTAGTTCTCCTTCGTGAGCTGAGAACACAGCTGCAGGGAACATTCACAAAAAGCCTTCCAAGCACCATCACCTCGTGGGAGGGATTCCAGCAGTGCATTAGCTCTGGACTCAAAATCACAGGACGGTGACAGCCAGCACCAGGCGTGGGGTGGAGGCGGTTTCTCCAGGGCCTCTGTGTGGCCTCCAGTTAGTGGCTCTTACCTTGTAGAATAAATCTGCCTGACCTTCAGATCACAGATGTCCACCTGGCCCATGCATTGTTAGAGGTCATGGAAAACCTTGAGGATGAGGAGATTCACTTCTCAGGTGGTGCTGGTCTGTGATCTTAATTGTTCTTGAGGGACAATTATGTTATTTCCTGAATTTGACATTATCTGCGTAGCCTAGAAATAGGAAAGTGGACTTGGCTTGGTTAGCTGGGACCAAACCAGGAGATATATGTAAAATGCTCAGCCTCCTCACAGCCCCACCTCCAGTCTTCATGTAGTCAGTATATACATAGTAATTTGCATTAAAAACATGAGCTATTTCAAAATTTTTCTCCATTTATCCTCTGCTGATGAATCTCTGCCTAAGTTGAGAACATCTGACTTTCTATTCTTTGATCTTTCTGAGACTCCCTGCCCGCCATGTGTGTTTGTCCATTTATATGAGGTTTTGTCTCTGCTAACCTAGAATATGATTAAATTGTCTGTTTAGAAATATCCTTTCATTTCCTGGTGTGTCATCTCCGCTAGAGACATCTAATATGAACAGACGCTGAGGGCAGCTGCCGCGGCCCCGTCAGGGTAGCTGAGCCGGGGAATGTGCACATGTAGGGAACTTGGGTGAATTTGCTATGTAACAGTTTTCTTTGGAACCAAGTGCCATGGACACTTCCGCATATTCGACTACAGAGCATCGGACAGCATGAAGAATCCGAGGCAGGACCTTCCGCCAGTACCTCCTGAGATCTGAGAGTGAGAGCAGGGGCCTCTCCTTGCCTGGCCGCACCATGGTGGTCTCGGGTGAACAGCCTTGAAAGGGATTTTAGTAAGTCCACCAGGGGGTCTTCAGGTCAGAGACCTTTCAGAAGGTGAGGGATGAGGAGGGCGGGCAGCGGCAGCTGGGAGCCTGTGGGGGCTGGGACTGGGCTGTCCCACGGGGGTGTGGGGGTGACAGCAGCCCCAGAGGAAGAAGCCAAGAACACCCCCAGGCTCTGCTCGCTGCTTGGAGAGGGCCGTGGCCGCACGCAGCCCACCAGGGCATAGAGGCCCCAGTGGAAGGCCGCTGCTCTGTGTCCCTGGACACAACAAGAGAACAAGAAAGTATGTTCATCACTAGAATGGGGGGGTTTCTGCTACACTTTATGAAGAGCTGCCTGATCACATGGCCCCTTAGGCGCTTGCGTGCCTTTCCTGGGGAGTCGTGGAGAGAGCAGCTCATCGGTGAGTCAGGGAGCCCTGCCCAACTGCTCCTGCACACGTGGCTCTGCTGACAAGCCACAGGGGGCGGGCAGACTGGACTCCAGGGCGCAGCCGGTTCCGGGAGCCCCCGAGGTGACACAGCCGAGCAGCGTCTGCCAGCAGATGAGAAGGGCCCAGAGGCCCGTCCTGTCGACAGGCAGTTCCGTCTGTTCACACCCTTGCTTCCTGTTCAGCAAATTCCTAAGGAACCTTCCTGATCCGGACTGCTGCCAACCGGGAACAAGGAAGGAGGGCGTGGCAGGGCCTCCTGCTAAGACCTAGACTGGGCCTTGTTCAGCAGACTAACCGGGCTGTTGCCGACGCTCTCCAGCCCCACGTCCCCCGGCCCCTCCTCCTGGGAACCTTGCACTACCTCCCCCGAGT